ATGTGTTCTATCAGACCACAATGCAATAAAGCTTACAATCAACACCCGAAGAAGCCAAAATCACCACACGAACACATGGAGATTAAACACACTCCTGAATGATGAATGGGTCAAAAGAGAAATTAAGAAAGAAATAAAAGTATTCCTGGAACTAAATGAAAAGGACAAAACAACACAAAAAAACCTCCGGGACACACTGAAAGCTGTCCTTGGAGGGAAGTTTATAGCTCTAAGTGCCTACTTTAAATAATTAGAAAGAACACGAATGACTTAACATTGCAACTCAAGACACTTGAAAAGTAACAGCAAATGAAACCCAAACCCAGCAGACAAGAAGAAATAACAAAAATCAGAGCAGAAATTAATGAAATAGAACCAAAGAAAACAGTACAAAGAATCAAGGAATCCAAGAGCTGGTTCTTTGAGAATATAAACAAGATTGATAGACCGCTAGCCCAGCTAACCAGAAGAAAGAAAGAACACCCCCAAATCAAGAAAATCAGAGATGAAAGGGAAAACATCACAACAGACACCAAAGAGATCCAGAACATTATAAGGGAATACTTTAAAAACCTATATGCTACTAAATTTGAAAACCTAAAAGAAATGGACGGGTACCTAAAGGCATGGGAACCACCAAAACTAAACCAAGAAGAGATGAACGGCTTAAACAGACCCATAACACATAAGGAAATTGAAACAGTAATACGAAACCTCCCAACTAAAAAAAGCCCAGGACCAGATGGATTTACAGCAGAATTCTACCAGACGTTTAAAGAGCATCTACATCTAATACTACTGAAGTGGATCAATATATATGTCAATAAATGACATAAATCATATAAATGGGCTCAAAGACAAGAACCACATGGTCATCTCAATAGATGCAGAGAAGGCCTTTGACAAAACTCAACATGCATGTTGAAAGTCCTAGAGGGAATTGGACTGGAGGGAACATACCTCAACATAATTAAAGCTACATACAACAAACCCACAGCCAATATCATTCTAAATGGAGAAAAACTGGAAGAATTTCCACTGAATTCAGGAACCAGACAAGGCTGTCCACTATCGCCACTCCACTTTAACATAGTGTTTGAAACTCTTGCAAGAGCAATAAGACAGGAAAAGGAAATTAAAGGAATAATAATTTGAAAAGAAATCAAATTGTTATCCAATTTTGCAGATGATATGATATTATATCTAAGGGATGCCAAAAATTCCATGCGCA